GTCAAGTTGGTCAATATAAAGATCAATGACAGTAAAACGATATGAGTAGTTAACTGATGATTGCTAGCATGCATTATGCTGGCCATTATAATTTCTGTTAAGACGCGAGGTTCAATCTCAAAATGTCAACCTGATCGGAGGAGTAGTCCAAAGTCTTATACTATTAGACCCCCCTCACCTGATAATGTTTTATTGGTTTATCTTTCCGGTATAGGACAATACTTTAACATGTTCCCTTTGCTCAAATCGGATTGGAAAATATCGGTATATATGAATAAGTCAAACAGACCCTTAACAAGCTACTCTTAATCATATGTGTTAAGTAAAGAGTCAAATCACAATTGGGCTTGGCTCTGATACCATGTTAATATCTGAGTTTTCATCCTAAAAGAAAACTGAAAGGAGGAGGAGTCCAGATCTTAATAAAGCACTGTATTACTTCACAATTTTAATTTATGATGTGGGACTTCATCAACACCCCTTCTCATGACAAGACACTTCGTCTAGATCGTGCTATCATTTATTTTTTCATCAGCTCATCATTGTCATTTCTTATAATCATTATCATTTTCATAGGGGACCCACACCATGATTATGGATCAATTTAGTTTTGATACCATGTTAAAACTCGGGGTTTCATCTTAAAACATTAACCTGATGGGAGGAATAGTTTAAAGTCTTATTCAATGTTTTATGGTTTTAGAGTTTTGTGGTATGGAACAAATACTTAACAGTTTCAGATGACACTAAGCTAAGGTTTCAAAAAGACACTTATAATTTCAAGATGATAATAAAATTTCAGGATCATACTGTAGTCTAGAATGACAATATTTAACCATAGTCTGACCGCAATAGACTTAATTCGATGCATTTTATTTTTTATATTGAGATTATATTTTATAATGGTATATTTGTTTGTTCATTTAACTTTTACTCCTACAAAACACACTACTATTAATACGGAAAGGTCCAAATAACTAGATAATTTTATTATTTTCAATTTATCACTTAAACCCTTCTACTAAAAAAGTATCATAAAGCATGCTTACGAATAAAACAATCCGCCCATTTAACCGATTTTTAGACCCATTTTAATAGCTTGCTTTTTGGGAAAAAACTAAGAAATTGTCAAGATAAAGAAATTTATATGATTTTTCTTTAAATTTGTAATAGGCCTCTTTGTACTAGTATACAAGTGCACATTTATATATATTTGAAAACTCAATCAAAGTGGACATTTTAACCTGCTATAACAAAGTAATTTTCGGTTTATAAGAATTGAAATATTCTTGTTTCTAGCAGCGGCCATTCCCTCTAGGTAGGGTTTTCATTTCCCCTATCTTTGAGATTGGGCGGGTCGCACGTAGCGTTGATCGCTCTTCGGTTTCTTCTGTGGTGCGGACAGAGCACAGAGAGTCGGGCAGCGGTTTTGTAGGTGGATAGAAGTAGCGAGGAGATGGCATGAACGAGCGCAGGGCAAATGGAAAAGTTGATCGGGCAGTGCGACAGTTTGGAGATCGGGGCTGAAGATGACGATTGGTGCTCGATGACGAGGACGCACAGACCGCATGGAGCAGACGTTTGTGGTGGCTCGTCTCCCTCCTGAACCGCCGCCATGGAGTGCAGGAGAGTCTAGGGTTTGAAAGAAGATGAGTCAACTCTGTTTTAATTTCGTTTTATTTTGTTTGTGTTTTTATTTCGAACTGCATGTTGTTTTGGGTGTGTTTTTATTTCCTAGTAGAAAAACTCTAGAATTTAAGTGAGATGATGAGAAGCCTGATTTGCCTTTCATTGGCTCAGTTAAGCCCATTACAGGATCAACGATTGTTATTGCTTCTACAGTGGTGATATACTCTAAGTCTAGTTCTAGGGCCGAAGATAGATAGAAGCCTTTTTGTCATTTTGTATTTTCCTTAAGTTATGTTATTTAATTTATTATAAGCCACATTCTTAAAAAAAATTGCCAGATTGATTGCTCTCTCAAATTCAAATGATACATTCGAAATATAGAGGAACTTATTTAAATGTTATCCTTACTAATATTTGTGTATAATTCATATTTATAGAGTTTTCCCATAACATAAGGTTTATACCACCAGAGGCGACCCTAGGCCTGAAAACATGTGAAATATTATAGGCCCAATATATAAATGTTTTTCTATATGGATTGAATATGATTCTATTTTTCCTTTTAGGCCCAATCTTTTCCTACTTTATATGCATTTTTGAAATAAATTTGTTTTTGTTAGACCATTAAAAAATCCGAATTCCGAACAGACAGAGCCCCCAACAAGTCAAATACTCTCTCTATTCCACAAGGAATTTCCCACTTTTCTTTTTTGGATATCCCAAAAACAAGTTCCCATTTCCTTAAATGGCAAGTTAATCTACATCAAAACAGTGTCAAGCAATGTAAAAGATTGTCAAACAGTGTCGAAACAGTGCAAAACAATGTCGAACAGTGTCAAAACAGCGTCAAAACAGTAAAATTTACCCCATGGTAAGTTTATTTCCTTAATATGTGTGTAGATCAAACTGTGAAGTTCATTATGGGACGGAGGGAGTAATAGTTATATGTATCCATTTTTATTACGGAGCATAATTTTAGATATTCATATTTCTTCCCAAGTAATTAAGATTGGTCGTGGCATTGTGTGTATGAATTATCTATTTTCTTATGTGTGCAGTTTTTGTATTTTTTTTTGTTAAATTGTTAAAACTTAAACATTGCTCTTATGCAAATTTACATTTACTTTATTGTTTTTAAATTTTAATTATTATGAAGATGTTCGATATAATGATAATTTTCTTCATACTATTCTACAAAAATATTATCACATTTTTATTAGATAGCTATGTTGCTCTTTTACTTAAATTTACAACAAATAGTTTCACAATAAAGTAGTTCTTTTTTATATTACTTCGTATGATTTTCTAAATAATACAAAAACTCATTACAACATCAGCTTTGAATTCTTTCCTTTTTACGACGTGTTTCGTTTGTATAGCATTACTTTTCTTCATTTCTCAACTCTCAATTTCTTTGTTGTTATTATTATATTATTAAAAGGCTTCACGCCTTCATTATTGGGGACGGAAGAAGTCTAATAATCCATCACGCCAACATGCTTCATGGTGTTCACGTTAGCGTCCTCAGTGTATACTTCATTCCGAGTATATATGAGTGAATTAAAATATACGCATATACATGCGTGGAGGTAGGTGGGCCATGTATGCTAGCCCTCCACATTAAGGATGTTTTTACTTGGACCGTAATTTGCAGGTCTGGTCTGGTCTGGTTTGATCTGATCTGGTCTGGTCTGGTCTGGTCTGATCTGGTCTGGTTTATTTGTATTTTTATAACTATCCAAGTCTGGTATGGTCTGGTCTGATCTGGTCTGGTCTGGTCTGATCTGGTCTGGTCTGGTCCGAGATGAATTACAGTCTAAGTAAAAACATCCTAAAACAAACTAACCATAATGTAAAAAATTATGTGTAAAAATTTATCTGAATAAAATTTATATTGATCGTGCTGATGAATAGTAAATTCAACGCAAAAATAAGATAAGTGGAGCATATATCTTTAAATGAAAATATAATTGGGAGAAAATTGTCTTTGATATCATATTAATATATACAATTTTCTTTTGAAAGTTCAAGTAAGAAATAGTTCATTGTCTCATAATGTTTATGGTATATCCGAACGTAATTAAGTATACATGGTACATTTGTATATGGCGAAATGAGCATTTTTCAAATCTAAAATGAGCAATTAAAAAAACAGATACTTTGTTGACAAATTACGTGAAGTGATAACAATAGTATAATGTAATTATTCTAATCACTTAATATATATGGAATGGAGTATTCTATCACATATAGATGAACTCATATACTATCCTCAGTTTCTTTTTAATAGCAACATGTTGAATTTTACATTATTCACATGCTCTACTTTGACTACATTTTACGCTATTATTTTATGAAAATTATTTTAAAAAAAATATTGTTCAATTCATCTCATTACAAATTTTCAAAATCTGATTTTTAATATTTTTTTACTAATAGAATTAAGATATAATTACGGTCAAAGACGTGAATTGGCAAATGTGAAATCTTGACCGTTGCAACTAAAAAAAAGAACGGAGGGAGTATTACAAATGAACCGCAGGGCGTAGCTCAACTGGTAAATAGGGGGTGTCACAAGGGGTAAGTCTCGAGTTCGAATCCCGACAACTGTGATGAGAGGCTAATATGCCTAAAATGCATAGGGCCTCTGCAAGTATCAGGGTCAGAGTCTCACTCTCTATTTGTTCAATTTACATCCTCTCATCTAACTGTCTAGTCGGTGTTGGGGACCTCTGAGATGGGTGTTCTTTTTCTATACTCCCTCCGTCTCGCAATGAACTTCCCACTTTCTTTTTTTGGATGTCCCAGAAACAAGTTCTCATTTCCTTAAATGACAAGTTAATCTACATTAAAACAGTGTCAAACAGTGCAAAACAGTGCCAAATAGTGTCGAAACAGTGCAAAACAGTGTCAAACAGTGTCGAAACAGTAAAATTTACCCCATGGTAAATTTATTTCCTTAATATGCGTGTAGGTCAAAATGTGAAGTTCATTGTGGGACGTATGGAGTATATTACAAATGATGGCACGCCAATGGACCGGATTTGCTAAATTCAACTTGTCCAACTAATATTCTAATAGTTAATGAGATTTTTTTCAAACTTAAACGCTACTGTTTGCGAGATAAAGAGTCGTCTTACTTAGCACACGGATCCGGCCCCACCTATCTCTGACTGGTCCAAAATGCATTAAACTTCTTTCTGGAGACTGTTGACCAAAAAATCAAACATTGACAAGTATTTAAAACACATTTCAGAAAATAAAAGGAGAAGCTAGTTAGGCTACATCGTAGAATTTCTGTTCAAAGCATAGTGCCGTGTTGCATATATAAAGCCGCGTTTTCTTTATTTCCCCCATCTTTATTCTTTGAAATACTCTCCAATATATTTCCTTATATATAATCATGTCTATTTATTATCATCATACCAATGCAATAGTCTCTACTAAGTTCATTTGAAAAGAGATGAAGAAAATGAACCAAGTAGAGATACCTCAATATTTCTTATGTCCCATCTCTCTTCAAATCATGAAAGATCCGGTCATCGCCGTGACGGGTATCACGTACGACAAGGAAAGCATCGAGAAGTGGTTGTCAACGGCGGAGCAAGCGAGTTGCCCTGTGACGAAGCAACCATTGGCTAGGGATGCCGAGCTCACCCCGAACCACATGCTCCGCCGTCTGATCCACGCGTGGTGCACCTCAAACTCAGAGAAAGGGATTGATCGGATTCCGAGTCCGAAAACTCCTACGCATAGGTCTGAGGTTCTCAAGTTGATCCGTGACTTGAATACCCCAAAGACGTTCATGGAATCATTGAAGAAAATGGAAGAGCTCGCAAGCGAGGGCGAGAAGGCGAATAGGAAGTGCATGGAGGAAGCCGGGGTTGTTAGGTCTATGGTGCTCTTCATAGTGAAGAGGTTTAGGGAAAGGGAAACCCAAGGCCTACAAGAAGCTTTGAAGATCTTTCGTCTTGTTTGTAGCCCATCAAGTGAAGATGTCCCAATAGTGAATGAAAACCATGAAGATCTTATTCAAGTTATACTATGGATTTTGAAAATGAGAAGTCTAAACATGGACGATCATATAAAGGTCCACGCGATGAACGCCTTAAAGACGATCTTAGAGGTCACGAGTTCAAGTCTTCTCGAGGGACTAAACCCCGAATTTTTCAAGGAGATGGTGAGTCTCTTAAGAGCCAAGTCCCTCACACAACAAACCACCAAGGCTGTATTGCATGTACTAATACAAGCCTCTAGATGTGGAAGAAACAAACTCAAAATCATTGAAGCCGGAGTGGTTTTCGAGCTGATAGAACTTGAGCTTTGCAATCCCGGGAACAGGATTAGCGAGCTAGTGTTTTGTCTACTAGCTCAGCTCTGTTCCATAGCCGACGGGCGCCAACAATTCTTGAAACACGCCGGGTCGATCGCCGTGGTGTCGAAACGGACACTACGGGTTTCTCCGGCGACGGATGACCGGGCAGTACAGATACTCTCGATGATCTCGAGATGTTCGGCGACCAAAGAGGTGACTGCGGAGATGTTGAGGGTGGGGGCAGTCGCAAAGCTTTGCATGGTTCTTCAAGCAGATTGTGAAGTGCATTTGAAGAAGAAGGCGAGAGAGATACTAAGGTTACACTCTAATGTGTGGAACAACTCTCCTTGTATACAGTATGCATTATCAACGACTGGTAGATAGCATACATAACTATGATCAAAGCTAAGAAAACATTTTTTTCAGAGTTATTGCGCGATTGCTGCTCTGCTAATGTAATGTATATTAGTCAAATTGAGGTGTTAATTAAGAGAAAATGGCTGACAATATGACTAAAAGAGCTGATCAATTTTAAAGAGGGAAAATTCAGTAAAAAAATTCAAAATTTCAAAATAGGACTTCATTGTTTTTATTCCCTAAATAAGATTAATTTCTACCAAGTTTGACATTATATACAAAGCTTTAAAGATAGACAATTTCTGCCAAATTTTTTCAAACTTGGCCGAAATTACTCTCATTTAGGAAATAAAAACACGAATACCCCATTGTTCTAAAACTCGCTAGGCGCTAGTCCAGCGGTTGAGGGGCGCCTAGTGCCTAGGCGGCCAACTAGGTCGATTTTTTGGCCGACTAGGCCAATTATCCTTTTACGATTAGGGCCGACTAGACCGACTAGATCGATTAATCGGTCTGACTAGGCCTCTACGGTTTGGAATTTCAAAGCGTTTTTACTCAAAAACGCTTTTGACTGATCCGTTTTTTATTTGAAATAATGTCAAAAATAGGACTTGAGACTTTTGACTTAACAAAACTAGGACCATTATTCCGAAAGACAAAAAAGAGACCAAGTGCATGTTTGGCGGGCATAAGTCTCCGCCTTCTAGGTTTTGTACTATTTAAAAAGTCTCTAAAAGCTTCTAGTTATATATTTGACATGACAAATTTTAAGAGTTTTTCAAAAAATAAAAGATCTTTTTTGAGATGCTATAGGGAGTAGCATCTGAGAAAAGTCTGTAGCTTTTAGTATTAATTAGTCTTAACAGCTTGTATACCAAACAGAACTAAATCTAACAGTCACCTTTTTACCAAACAACTATCACCTTTTTTTAAAAATCTTTTCAGTCACTAAAAGCTAATAGTTACTAAAAATCTTATAAAAGTATCTTTTCAGCCAGTTGTGCCAAACATATACCAAGGCATCAACTCGTTACTCGACCAGTGACAGATTGAAACGGCCATATGCAATACTCAATCGTCATCTTCTATATTTCCTACCAATGGCAACGTTTAAAAATGGCTACAATGGGAAGGTTGGTGTAGTCCAATGGATGACCATCCACCCCCAAGTCTCTCCTTTGTGGGAGGTCTTGGGTTCAATTCCCACCAAGGAGAGATGAGGGAGGTCTTGCTCCCAATGATTCTTCCTACCTTCACAGAGTTACTCAGCGGCTGAGAAGGGAGAGGATGGTAATGAAGGTAGCGGGTTCGTGTGGTGGGAGGAGCAACCTGAAAGGTGATGTAAGTCCTGCTGGATTCGTCCTTTGGAGCTAGTACTGACGAGGCTGACTGTGATCAGATCCGGATTTAACTGTCTAGGGGCTTTGGAGGGTAGTTCATAGACTCCAGGATTATGGGAGCGTAAGCCCCGACACCTAGTTTATCAAAAAAAGAAAATGACTACGATGATGGAGACGACCAGTGATGCCGCGTCGACAACCAGTGACGGTCAGCGCCTCCATCGAGGTTCCGCCACCCACCTCTCCTTCTTCACAGATAGAACACCGACCTCCACTCCCGCCCGTAACAGTCTGCCGCCGTCGCTACCTCCCCACGCCACCGCCCCCTATTGCCGACCTCCATCCCTATTATCTCTTTTCTTCTTCTCCTCCTCCTCCTCCCCCTCCCCCTCCTCCCCCTCCTCCCCCCTGACCCTCCCCCTCCTCCTCCTCCTCCTCTTCTATTTCTTTTTACGATGGTGACTAAGATCCAAAGGGCAAGCAGATGGATTCATTTTAGGAATTTTATCAATTCAGGATCTGAAAGATAGATAAATTACCAATTCCGGACCTGAAAGATAAATTGTATCGGTATAGGACCCGAATGATGGAAAACTATCAATTTAAGACCTAACATTTCATTTGTTTTTATTTATTTTATTTTTTATTAATTCCATTGCTATTTTTTGATAACATTTTCTTCACAAAAGTTTATTAGTTTAGTAAAACTAAATGATATTTAAAAATTTTGAAATAATAAAATAATAAAATTCATGATAACTTAGGTCCTAGATTGATAATTTTCAATCATTTAGGTCCTAAATTGATAATTTTCCATCATTCAGGTGATATATTGATACATTTCACCTTTTAAATCCTGGATTGATAATTTGTCTATCTTTCAGGTCCTAGATTGATAAAATTTCTCCATTTTACTCCTCACCAATTTTGGAATGTAGGTATGCGCTTCACCGATTGGGGTCAAATCGACGGTGGGATAGGGTTTTCACACAGTGCGGCTATACTTATGGGTGAGTTGGGATGCGGTTGGAAGGGGAGGTTTAGGCAGCTGGGGGAGCCATGCACATGGTGGGAGAATGGTGAGGTCGTTAATTATTGAGGGCGAACAAGGGTGGTGGTGGTTATTGCAAGGATGGCAAAAATCACTACCAGGGTCATGGAGGTTATTGTCGGAGCAGGTCACTACCAAGGCAGTAGAGGTCACTGGTCGAGTTTGGTCATTGGAAGATTTGGTCACTATTTGGGTCGATCATTGGTCAATTTGATCACTGATCGGGTTGACCAGGATCATCAGTCTGATTGGTAATTGTTACTGATCGGATTGGTCATTGTCACCGGTCGGGTTGGTCACTAATCGGATTGGTCAATGTCACTAGTTGGGTTGGTTACTGACCAGATTGATCATTGGTGCGTTTGGTAATTGTCATTCGTAGTAGTTTAGTCTCATTTTTGGAACTTTTTAAAAGTGGTCTTATTTTTGTCCAAAACATTAATTTTAGTACTAACTATTTTTGGAAAACCCCCTTTTTTATTCCGGAATTAATGATTTCTTGCATGTATGATATTTGTTTTGATACTATTTTTTTGTCCTTCAATTTAAATAGTATTCCTATAAAAACATACTTAAATTTGTTATTTTTTTGAAAGACTTAAATTTGTTAGTTTTTTTGAACGATTAAATTTGTTTGTTATATACTCCGTATTAGGAATATGTGAATGTCCCAATCATATATAAATAAATATCCCGTTAATTAATGAATATTAACCTACAAGCTAGCCTTTAATTTTCCAATGAGAGACAATTTTTGCTGGTGTGATCTGGTCTTTATCAGTTTATTTATCATGTATTGTTTCATTCTCATCAAACCTATAAATACAAAAGTTAACATTTCTTAGAATATGACAACTAATTTTTTGTAAGTTATTACCCTAACTAGCAGTAAAACAATACAAAAGTTCCAAAATAAGAGTTCTTGTTGATTTATTTCTTAAATATGACATTTTAAATTGACTACCCATTTCATTTCCAGATTTACCCTACCCACATTTAATGAATAATTTTTCCTCCATAAGCTGTCACACGCGACACTTAGATATCACGCACAAACCCTTCCTTTGCCAAGCTATCACCGTACAAACCCACCATTTCCCATCTCCCCACCCTTCCGCGTACGACAACATCCTTTCCGTATGTTTCTCTCACATGGAGTTTGGGGCTCCATTTTTCTCCCCAACTTCGGCGGACGGCGGACAATAGACGGCGGTTGTCGTAGGTAAGACTCTTCCTCCTCATCTTCTATTTTTCCTCATGTTTCTCTTCTTCCTTCATCTTCTTGTTCTCTTCTTCTTCTTCCCCTTTCCTTATGCCATTTTTTGCTTTGGTCTACCGCAGATCCATTTCCTCATTTTGTATCATGAACTTGTTGTGTTCTTTCTTTTCCAGATCCAAATTTTGAATTGAGTTTTAGTTTTGTTTCTTTTCCTTTCTAGATCCTAATCTATCAAGCTTTTTTGGCTTTCTTCTCTCTTTTAATTCTATTTCAATTTTTCTTTCACCTATAATTTGTTCTTTTAACTTCTTATTTTATCTTTTACATTAAGTTAATAAATATTTACTTTCATGTCAATCAATTTTTTTAATTCTTCAAATTAATTTTATGATTTGAATTCCAAATTTTCATAATCACTTTTAATTTATGACATCAAAATGAAAATATTACTCCACAAATAATGATATGTTTGATTACGTGAAAATATCATTTTGACATTTAGTGTCATTTTTATGGCACTAACTCCTTCTAGATGACAACAACAATACTAATAATGCCATGTTTTTTCATATATAAAATAATAAAAATGTTTTTTGCACATAGTGCCATTTGTATGGCAGTAATTTTGTAGAGATGACAATATTATTTCCTTGCCATATTTATAATGCCATGGAAATGTCAAAATGACACTAAAATTCATATCCTCCACTTTTATATATAAATCTTATTAAAAATGATATTCAATTGGTCACATGATATTTTAAATCACTTTTCTAAATCTGAGATTTGTGATGGTGAAGCCAAACGTGGTGGTGCTACAAGAGGTGTGGCGCCGCATAAGGAATTAGTGGCACGGCATCCGGCGACGGCGGAGGTGATGGCAGCAGATATGTAGATGGCGGTGCCGATGACCGATGTCAACTAGCAGCGGAGACACCGGGTAGTTGCGACGCCGGCGGAAGTGGCGGTAGTGATGGAGATTCATTCTGGGTAATATTTAACTCCTAGTTTGTCCATTAAGGGTAATATTCATTCTGCGGCGGCGGATGATTCAACTCCTAGTTTGTCCATTAAGGGTAATATTTATTAAGGGTATATTTGTCCATTCATTCCTTTTTACTCCTATAAAACTACAGGGATGATTCAACTCCTAGTTTACCACTTTTGTTATGTTTTACTCCCTATATGGGGAATTAACTCATGTTTTTTCACACAACGTAGACGTACCCATTCTCTCACGCAAGAAAAAAGTTCTAATTATTTTTATTTGTTTAGTATGACTAAACAAATGTTATTAGGAATGGAATATAATTAATCATGCTACCTCTTGAAGGTCAGCCATATTTTACTCCTATTTTTAATAATTTCCTTAAGAATAATTAGTAATAAATCTATGGAGTGTTGGAGCTTTTTGGTTTCGAAGTGCACGTGCGAACCTATGGTAACAGACCCGAAATGGCTTGGGCGGGTCGATCCGGAATCCAGAAACCCACTTGAAATACCGGTCCGGTTAGGGTCCAACCCGCAAATCAGCCTAAACCCGGTAAAACCCAAAGACTCGCCTGAAAC